TTTTGCAGCGATCGCCTGAACAAACTATGATTCAGAGATTGGTCAAAAAAATGTATAACATTAGTTTCCCGCAAAAAAAACCAAACTTTTTAAAATTACTCAGTGATCGCTGGCTGACCTAATTCGTCAGATCAATCGAGCATATTTTTGCAAAAATACTTCTCTATGTCTAACTTTCAGTTGTAACAGTCACCCTGTTTGTAGTAAGACATCATATTAACAATTTTACGCTGTACTTATTTTGAACTTCTTTTTAAGCTAATCAGACTTGGCAGTACTTGTATTTTTTTAAACAGTACAATTCTAAAACAACCAGAAAAATTTTAGCAAGTTGATTTCTGACTTTTAGTTTTGATCCACAAAAAAATGACGTAAATGATAATAGTTTGTTTACTTTTTAAGCACTTATAAAAATTATGACTTTAGTTTTTCAACAGTAATATTGTCAATAGTATTCCCCAACAAGTTCTGAACTTTTGCAATCAATTCCTGATTAAACTGATTGTCAGCTTATTTGGGAGGTTTAAGAAATCATCAAATTGATTTTGTTTAGCAGCTAGTTAGAATTTGTACCATAAAGTTTTTCTCTTTCTGACAATTCTTCAAGAAAAATTTTCATCGTTGAGCTCTTGTTTCAACGTTTCGTTTGCCGTCTTTCTGTAGCAATTGCTAGTTAATTTCTAAAAAAATTGTGATGTGTTTTCCCAGTTTAATTTTAATTATGAAAATTTATGCACTTGCTTAGCTTTTAAAATTTATTCAAGAAAAGCTTGTAAATAATTAACATTTATTCACTCAACTGTCACGACTGGTCACAACAAATTTGATGCAAAAAGTTTGATTTTCAATACCAAAAAACTGTAACCATTTTTTTTTTTCTGGTATACAGTTAGTGACTTTCTAGAACTTGTGAAAATTAGATTTTTCAATAAAATTGGTTGATCAATTCAACTTGTCAAAAACATAATGGACAAAAAGTGTTCTGGAAAGGTTGCTGTACACGAGACTAGTTTTTTTGATGATAAATGGCAATAACAGCTTTGATTACTGCTATAATTGAAAAATAGACGATTTTGGGTCTTTTATTATTCTACATTAGCTTTTTATAACCGCAATAAATAAAGTTTTGGTCAATGAGTCATAAATAGATTTTTCTGCTGAAATGTTTACAAAAATTTTCGTGTTTTCATAATACAAAATAAAGAATATTATGAATAGTAACATAGTAAAAGGTAAGGAAATTTTGGTTAACTATACAATAGGGCTCTTCCAAAAAATTCTGCTCCTCTTTCTCAATTTGATGTAAAAACAGTTTTTAAAAAATTTCTGGATCTTCTTCAAAAGCCGCATTTCGAATTTTACTTTCTGCCGAAAATCTCAAAAACCACGATTCTGTGAGCTCGTCATGCTAAAAAGGCGGGTTTTTGATCGCAAAAAAGTTACATCAGCATTAGCAAAAGCTGCTATGAACCCTCATTAAACTTAGGAATTTTGTTCTAAAACAAAAGTTTTTGAGCATACAAACCCCCTTGCTTGCAACAAATTTTTTCCGATAATGTATATTTTTTAGCCACCTTTATTTCCCGCATGTCATATTAAGACTCATACTGATAGAGTAAAACGCCTGGTTTGGCTTCTCGATAGACCTGCTTTTTTTTTTGTTTGCTTAAACTAGGATTGTTTCATATAAGTTGGTGCCTAAACTCGAAGTTTCTTGCGTTTACGCTTCAGACCAAGATATTGTAGAAGTAAAAACATATATTTAGGACAATTCGATTTTTTTTTTTGAGAGGAAGGTTTAAGCCAAAGGACTGCTTAAGGTTTTCAATTGAATTAACAGCTAGCTGTCAAATCAGTTAGGCTTTTTAAAGCTTAGCTGAGACATTTTTATTGCAAACCAGTGTCTGTTCGTGCTGGAATTATAAAAGAAATGAGCCAAAAATTAACTTCTGTATCAGAAGCAGGAATTGAACAAATATAGAAGTGATTTTGAATAAGCATCTTAATTACATATACATATATGCATAATCCAGTTATTCACTTGTTAATATTCACTTCTATCTCATTCTACAGGGAATCAATACAAAATGGCAACATTCTAATGCCCTTGAATCTTTCAGTACAGGTCAAATGCAGTGTTCAATTATGCTTTTTTAACTTTTTATCACTAAACTTTGGATCCCATAAAATTGCTACTTTAGAACTTTTTTTTACTGTAAACAAAAATTTTGACAAAAAAAGTAATTTTTAAAATTTCATTGTCTGAGGTTGCGTTTCAGTTGCAAATTTCATCCTTCTCTATGTATACCCGATTATTTTTTTAAAAAATAATAAATAAATTGGTTTCCGCCAAATGAATAAAGAACTTTCCCCTGTTCTTACTTGTTGGATCTTTATCTAGTTGAAAGAAACCTGAGCAAGGTAAGTTCAATTTAGATATTTACAACTAATAAAGAAAAAGCAAATTGAAAAAGCTGCTACAAAAAATGGCGTTTTTAAATGGTAAAATTGATCTTATTGGTAAAGAGCACATTCTTGCTAATATTATACAGACGTTTCAAAAACAAAATTAGCGTGGCAGAAATGCTCAT